AGAGATCTTTCCCTTTCCATAACAGCAGGCTACCCCATCTGTAATGAATGTGTATAGACCAAACTAGTCTGAAACCACAGCAGACTGAATTGCAGGTTCATACTCCAGAGCTGGTAAAGTTACTGAAACATTTCTGTAAGAAAGTAAATGTGGATATCTGTACCTTCTCTTTGGAAAGAGCTTCTGTTCAAACTTAAAATAGTGTATCAATGTGAATAGATGGTTTAAATCCTCATAGTTCAGTTTTCAGTGACTGCATGCATGAAACTGTGGAGCAGTTTAATTATGGGAGAAGTACTGATCTCACCCACTCTTTTATTCGTGTTCTTTTAAGACTTTTATTACATAAAAGTTGTGGTGATGACTGTTATGGCTCTCACTTGGTACATTAAACTAAAGCACTGGTAACTGTATCATTATTAACTGTACTGTTTTTTGTGCATGATTTCCAGCTATCTTGTAGTCTGAATGGCTGTGTTTGTCTTAGAGTGGTGTTGTCATGTGGTCACTGCTGTTGTGATGGTTAGATAGCATTGTACTTGTGTAAGATATGCAGTTATACAGATTTTACGTTTTCAGCTCTCCGTAACCTTATTCAAACAAATCTATTTTTGTATATCCATGAGAACTGAAGTACTTTAATGTAACTGCTGATTATCTCTCCTCTTTCAGTCTGGAATCGAGCTGTTTGTGAACAGGCTTGACTCGGTAGAGTCTGTCCTGCCCTACGAATATACTGCGTAAGTATGTTATATTGTGTGTCATTTTAATTGTCAGTTCTTCAGAAAAGATGGATTTAATTCTCCTAGAAGTATTATCTACATCCTACTATAGCAGTGTGCCACTAACAGAAGTTTACATAGAATCTTCAATGAGCAGACAGATGCCTGCATTGCTTCCTTCTTCTCAGTTGTCTTTGCTCATTCTTTGGAAGTAGTGTGTGGATTCATAGGTCCTCATGTAGGTTGAGTCACAGTTTTAGTGTAACTTAAGGATGAAATGTGTGTATATAATGCTCACTTTTCTGCATTAGTTGCCATTTTGTAGATCAAAGTATTACTGCTTTCTTTAGTAGCCTATAGCCAGATGAGTTAAAGTGGTAATGAGGTGCGAACATCCCATCAATTATCTTAATGAGGTGTTAAACGTTTTCTTGGTATACATCACAGGAGTGCACAAAATCTATCAGTGCCTGGTACAACTATGTAAAATTTTTGCTTCAAGGAATTTTTTTGACTGTTAATATTGAAGAGTTTTAAGCACTAGCTATGCCTGCACTTTAATGAACACATATGTGATAGACTTAAAAATAGGCTGGAAAACCTTGGAGGATGTGCTGTTAAATGTTTTGGTGGATAAAGCTACAATAACCTGTTTAATAGTGCTCATTGTAAAGGAGCTGTCTGTGTGTGTGGTTTCTTTGGGTTTTTTTTTGCCTTTATTTGCCTCCCCCCCCCCCCCCCCCCAGGAATCTGTCCTGCACACTTTTTTTCCCTCAGAGTCATCGTGAAACTCTATGTGAAGGTTTAATTCTTGGCTACAATCCTTGTTCAAATATGAAATTTCTATTAACTCAAGGAAACTTTTACACTAAAAAGTTCTGAAGTAGCTGATTAAGAAATTTGATTGTTGGTTCTGTTTTGGTTGGTTTATTTTCAGACCAGGAGTGTGATTTTCACACTTTGCTTTACAGGTTAAAGGAAGGAACTGTTGTCTGCAAGGAAAGCTGTATAGTTGCTTTACTTGTGATGAAAGCATTGATTTAATCAAAAATGTTCCCACTGTTTGAGGTCTGATATTTGCAGCTGAGAATATTTTAGTAATATTTGCATCTTTTATTTAATTCAGGTTTGATTTTTGTCAAGCAGAAGGAAAGAAGCGTCCATCTGAAAACCTTGGCCAAGTGTTGTTTGGAGAGAGGATAGAACCGTCTCCTTACAGGGTTTGTTCTCTGACAAGGGGTGTTTGTTAATGTGAATGTTCAAATGTAACCAGAGGAGATCAGAATCATGAAGATATCTTCACGAGGGCTTTATCTGAAAGAGCTTCAAAATCTGAAATTCCCACATCATAGAAGCCTGTCAGTTTTACCTCATTGTAACTATGTGCTTTGCATCATGGAGTTGTAGCTTGAAATGCTGCGAGGGTTGTCTTCTCTCTCTGGAGCCTGGCAAAACCTGGTCTTGCTCCTCAGCTGTCCCCTTGTTCGAGGGAGTTGAGTACCTTTATTTCTTGGAACCAAAAATGCTGCAGCTGTAAAGTGGAAGAATTAGAAATTATGTTAGTCAGCTTATCTTTCTGGTGTCTGAAGCTCTCACCTGCTCTCCTACAGGAGAGAAAGTTATCAGTTGAACCTGCCTGTGACAGTGTTGCTGCTGTGAGGTCAAATGACTTGTCTGGTAAATCATTGCAGAAAACATGTTTTACTCAGTCAAAAGAAGCTTTTGATGCAAGGCTCCTACAGTGAGCACAGGAAGGGTTTATAGTACACACCAATATAAAATCCTCTTCTGGAGGGTTGATATACCTAGTCTTGGGTCATTTGTTAGGTGTTTCTATTATAATAGTAGAGGCAATTAAATGCATAGAGGAAATTGTGAAATACTGAAATAAGACAGAGTTTGTTACAACCTTTTTGCTCAAATGTCTTTTATTTTTCTTAGTTCACATTCAACAAGAAGGAGACATGTAAATCTGTTTGTACAAAAACATACGATACCACAAAGCCAGAAGATAAACAGAAATTAGACTTTTTGAAAAAAAGCATGCTACTGAATTATCAGCATCACTGGTAAGTTGGTATCAAAATTCATAGATTGGTTATTCTAGTATGTGGTGATAATTTAATTTATCATTTTATATTTGCATGTTATTACAGATTGAACACTAGGTATTTGTACTGAATCTATTCCCCTTGTGTTTTTGCAGAAGATGTTATATTGTTTGTTGTCTTCATAAAACATTTCCTTCACTTGGAGAATGAGCACCAGCTGCAATGGAAATGAATCTGTTTCCAAACAGCTTTGTGCATGCTGTAAAACACTGCTATTTCTTTGCACCACTAAATACAGAAGTTAGTCCTGCTTTAGCTTGAGAAAAGTCTTTGAGGGACCTTTATTCTTTTGCTGTGTTGTCTCTAGATCCTTTGTACTCCCCTTCAAATATTGTGTCCAGGGGACAGGGTCAAGAGTTCTGAAAGAGTTTTATGCAATGTTTGTTTCTTTTCTATGGATATGGAAGGGAAAGGTGGGCAGTGAAAATTAATTAATGAAATAATTTGGGGGAATTCATAAACACTTGGTCCTTTCCTGTTCTGTTTCCTGTTACAGTCCACCTGTAACCATCTGAGTCATCTTGGAGCACACTGGGCCTCTCTTTCTGCTTGGACACTGACGTCATCTTCCAGTGGGCATTAAGGGTGGGGCAAGGCTGAATGTGTATGCTGAGTCCTGCAGGTTTTCAGTTGGGATGTGGCCATGCTCTGCACCCACATCAGTGTTTGTTTTGTGCTCTACCTGTTGGTGTGCTGTGCCATCAGCAGCCTTCAAGTGCAAGGATAGAAGGAACAACTCTGGCACGAGTTCCTGTGGCATGTCCCTTTGTGTGGCTCACTGATGAAAATATTTCTGGGAACTTCTTGAAAAGGAGTGTAGTAGGAAGTTGACAGATCAGGTCAGAAGGGTTCACAGGCAATAGCCATATGTTCAGGTATGTGAACCAGGAGATAATAAAAAAACCCTAAAAAAGGTACAGCTCCTTTTGCAGGGATTTGAAGTGTATATGCCTAATGGTAAAATCAACAGAGCTTCAAACATCCTGGACTTGGTTATATTCCTCTTAAATACTGCCTGTATTTATAATATTTGCACCACTTTGAACTTCAGTGATGCACATGGGTCTGGCATAAAGCTTTAAAAGTCTGTGTGTGTTGCGGTGTAAAAATAGTTTCCCAAAGCTATGACCCTTGAAAAAACTTAATTTTTTTCAGGAAAGCCCACGGCTTAAGCTGATACAAACTGAAGCTGTGTAAAACTAATCACACAGAAAAGTACTTCAGACTGGTTTGGTTTTTCTCCCCTTAGATGAAATTATTTTACAAATACACTTAGTGTATGTAAGTATACTTTTTTCGCCTATGTGCCTAACTTGATAGAAGTGTTGAGATTTAAGTAAGATACAGTTCTGTTTTTCAGTGTGAAAACTTCTCTTGAAATTTAGGGTATTTCTTATATTCTTTGTTCCTGTAATGAATTAGCATTTCTACTATTTATTTTTTTTGCTAGGCCTACTGCCCTAAAACGTTAGAGCCCGTGGCATGAAAAATCCCTGTTTATGTCTGTTAGTCCTCCTTAGCCACAGCTTCAGAAAGTGGAAGTGGCTGGATTTTGTGATTAGTGAGGCATGCTCCAGGAGTATGGTACAGAGGTATGTTGTACAGGGATCAACAAGGTAGCATAAGTGAGGATTTAATAGAGGTTTATTATCCAGCTTCAATTTATCATGAAATTCCTGGGGAACACAGATGGTGCAAAGGACTTTTAAGGTTTTAAAAGCCACTTAATAAGATTAGGAATTGACATACTGAATTGGACTGAACAGCTATACTGATATCTTGGCTGACAATGTTCATCACCAGATGTTCTTGAGAGACATGTAAGAACACTGTTGAATAGCATATTTGCTCCATATGTATAATCTCTTCAAGTCATTTTAAATTTGAAGATTAACTGGGAAAAATGATTTGCTGCTTAAATTTGTTCCAGCATTGCTGCTTGAAGGCAGCTCAGTGTGTCTTTGCTGCAGAAGATGCAAGGGAAAGCCTTTACCCCAACCAAACTTATTTGTAATATGTTAGTGTTTTACTTGGTTTTGATTAAGAAATTAAAATACTCACAAGAGCAGGTAATCTCTCTAGCATATTTTGTGGAATAAAATTTCAAATATGCAATCATAGAATTGTTTAGATTAGGTAAGGCCTTCTAAGATCATTGAGTCCATCTGTGTGGTGGGTTGACCCAGGCTAGATGCCACGTGCCCACCAAAGCCACTCTGGCTCATGGGTCGAGGTAAGGGCACTCACCAGTTACTGTCACAGGCAAAGCAGACTCAGCTTGGGGAAATTAGTTTATTAGAGGTCAAATCAGAGTAAGGTAATGGGATATAAAACCTAATATTAAAACACCTTCTCCCCATTCCTCCCTTCTTCCCACATTCAACTTCCCTCCTGATTTTCATTACCTCCTCCCCTTAGTGGCACAGGCAGACAGGGAGTGGAGATTGTAGTCAGTTCATCACAGGTTGTTTCTGCCAGTCCTTCCTGTTCAGGGTAAGGACTCCTCACACTCTGCTCTTGCTCCAGCATGTGGTTACTCACGTGGGGAACAGTTCTTGATGAACTTTTCCAATGCGAGTCCTTCACATGGACTGCAGTTCTTCATGAACTGCTCCAGCATGGGTCCCTTCCACGGGGTGCAGTCCTTCAGAAATAGACTGCTCTAGTCTGGGTCCCCTGTGGGGTCACAAGTCCTGCCAGCAAACCTCCAGCATGGGCTGCCCCTGAGGCTGCAGCCTCCTTCAGGGCCCATCTACCTGCTCTGGCATGGGGTCCTCCATGGGCTACAGGTGGATATCTGCTGCCCTGTGGACCTCCATGGGCTGCAGAGGGGCAGCCTGTCTCACCATGGGTTGCAGGGGAATCTCCCCTCCAGTGCTTGGAGCATCTCCTTCCCTTCCTTATTCACTGACCTTATCTCTGCAGAGTTGTTGCTCTCACATGTTCTCACTCTCAGGCTGCAATTGCTGCTGTGCAGTTTTTTTCCCTCCCTTCTTAAATCTGCTATCCCAGGGGTGCTACCACCATTACTGATGGGCTTGGCTTTGGCCAGGTGTGGTTCGGCCTTGCAGCTTCCTGGCACTGGCTCTGTTGGACATGGGGGAAGCTTCTAGCAGCTTCTGACAGAACCTCTGGACCCCCTGCCAACTGAAACCTTGCCACACAAAACCAATCCAAATCATTGACCCAACACTGCCAAGTCCAGCACTAAACCATATCCCTAAGTCACCATGCTATTTCTAATATAGGCCAGGATGCCATCAACCTTCTTGGCCACCTGGGCACTCTGCTGGCTCATGTTCAGTGGCTGTCAACCAGCACCCCACAGTCCTTTTCCCCCAGGAAGTTTTCCAGATGCTGTGCCCCTAGCCTGTAGTGCTGCATGGTTTGTTGTGACCCAAGTGCCGGACCTGGTACTTGGCCTTGTTGAAACTCGTATCAGTGGCTTCATACAATATGGTCCAAATGTAATGAATCTGCATGTGAAATAGCTCATAATCTCCAGCTTAATTGTACCCTGTGGTAGCATGGTTAAGTGAGTAGGATTTAGCTGGTGCTGTTGCTTGTGACCACTACAGTCTTTGGAATCTCCTGAGAATCTGGAAACTCTGGTTTTCTAGGGCCTGTCTTCACCTTTTCTGCTGTGTTAGTTTAAGACAAGAACAATGCTGCTTATTTCTGCCAGGTAGCTAATGATAAGGGTGATGCAGATCTCTCTCTGTTGTGTGAACAGAGGCAGCACACACCACTCTTCTTCCCCTCATCTGTTGATGTGCTTTGAAAGGTAGCACTACTTTGGTAGCTGTTAGAATAGGCAACAGACTACATATGCTTTGTTTTTGTTTCCTGAAGTCACAATTCCTGTGTTTAATTAGGTATTTTAAAGTACCTAATGAGGTATTATCAGGTATCTGTTAACATTATTAGTCTAGTGGTTATAATGACGAGAGGTTTAATTGTGAAGATGTTCAGTTGCTTGGTAAGTTTTACAAAAAATCTGTGGTGTTAGCTTTCAGTGGGATGTCTTTTTTTTTTTTTTTTTGGTCTAGTGGTGCACAAAAAAAGCAGTTGTCTAATGTCTTCATGTGTGAAGTTTATGAATATACCTTTAAAAACATACCTTGGGCAGTTAATGTTGGCAGATTTTTTGTCTTCTTTGCTTGACTCATTCTGGGGATTTATCTTTCAGCTAGTTAAAACACTTTATAACATAAAGAGACAGGTTTGGTTTTTTTTAGTAGTTTATTTTACAGAGGGACAGGATGCCATGTTGGGTATCTATGTTTAAAGGTATATTTTTGGTTTTGACATTTGTACTGTTTGTAGCATGTTGGATACTGTTTATATCTTACTGTCTTTATAATTTTCTGCAACTCCTCATGGGAGTGTGGGGTTCCTCCATATATTTTTCATTGAAACTAAACTATAAATCCACTGGGCTCGAGACTTTTAGGAAATATGAATATAGATATTGTGAGGCAATCATGTAAAACCAGGTTTGAAGGTGATTATTTCCCCAGTTGTTTGATGTCTTACAATTTTTTGCTCCTGCAAACCATCTTGTCGAAGTATTCCATGCTCTTGGGTAACTACAACAGATGTTAGTGGTCAAGAATTCAGTTAAATAGCAAAAAGAGTAAGTTTAAGGAGTGCCATGAAAAATTCATTTTGCAATGGAAGAGCAGTGAAGAATCTGTAGAATTAGTAAGATGTGATGTAGGCTTTCTTTGAAGTTTTGCGTTTTGACTTAAACCCAAAATTATCAATTTTTGCTGCTTTAGTGGATGATTTTGCCCATTTTTAAAGGAAAAAAAAGAAACGGTAAATTATGACTTTGGAGTGGATGAGTTTTCTGAGTGGGCTATTTTTGTATGAGGCCATGAGAAAACAGTCCAGGGGACAGAACAGTTTCAGTTGAAGAGCTACATGCTTGTAACTGGCTTGGACACTGGATTGGCATCAGTGCAGTTCCAGGGGTTGAGAGGTGACAGAAGTCTCGTTCTGGTAGTTAATCTTCCAATAATGAATGTAGCCAAGTTAGATGAATACTGATCCGGTTGTGTTTCCATTGGACTGTGTATTTTGAAAAGATTGTGAGATGTCACTGTGCTGTTTACAGGATTGTGGACAACATGCCTGTGACCTGGTGCTACGATGTGGAGGATGGGCAGAGGTTCTGCAATCCTGGTTTCCCTATCGGCTGTTACATCACCGAGGACGGACGGCCAAAGGATGCCTGTGTTATCAATGTATGTTTATGCAATTATAATGGGGTTTTAATAGTCCCTTTTTACTAATTTAAGGACTGGCATTTCTCCTGTGTCATGTTTCTATGCTGAGTTCTTGCTGTCTTAAGAACCCACATTGCCTAAAACTAGGTTCTTTGGTATCTCTGAAAGCACCATGGTATCTCTGAAAGCCTCATCCAAGCCTACGAACCTTGTCTCTTACGCTGCGTAATACAGAAAGGCTCCAGAAGATCAAGAATTGAACATGCATAGGATTTAGTACATGTAAAGGGTGCAGGTGAAGGAAAGCATGTTACCCTTCCTTGCCTAGGAAGCTGAAACATTTGGAAGCTTGGACTTCATGTTTTTGTGGGATAGAAGTGTTGTCACGGAAGCAAGTTTGCATAGGTGTGTCCTTACCTCTGTGTGGAAATGAATACTTTTTGAAGGACTGTTTTCTTTAAAACTGTGGACTGATGGAAGAAGGCTGAATATAAGATTTCTGAATTTCTGTGAGAGACAGATCTATTGGATTAAGTGGTCGAAGTCCAGATAAGTGCACTGAAATCATTATGGAAGTATGAATGCAATAGAAAATCCTGGAGGTCTTTAGATTACTGCAGTTCTTTTCCATAGAGAGGTCACCGAGAACTTGGAATAGTTTTTTAGTTTTATCAAAATGGTTGCTTTTACTTAACAGATCTTACTAAAGACAATAGTTTTTTGCAGATTCCAACCTTGTTTCCTTGCCTCCATAACAAATTGGTTTCAGAGGCTCCATGTGAATAGTTGTATTTATGATTGAATACGTGATATCGCAATTTTTTTTTAGTCTTAAATACCTGCTTTTAATAAATTCCCTCAAAGGAATAACTGAAGGGATGTAGAAGATCACTTAGTATATATAAGTATTCTTATAGTTAAGATGCTCTGTAGAAAGGATGAGGATAGAACCCTGAAGGGGTACTAATTAAACTTCAGCATCACAGCTTGTGATTTAACAACCTCTTTGACTAAATTCCAAGGTTTTGTTTCCCTTCACCTGAGGTTTGCATTCAGCATTCTTGGCTGCTGCTTGCAGTTCATCCCTGTACATCTTTGGTTTCAAATGTCAAGGTGGTTCTGTCACAGAGAGCAATTATTTGCATTGTTTGTCTTGGAAGGTTCTGTTTAATCTCTGAAAAATGTACACAGTGTTTTAAAATAGCTGATGCTTATGAAACACCTCTGATGTGAAACGTGTCACATAGTTATCTATTCAGTTTGCTACTTAAATAAAACAGGACATCTTCTGTTTGAGAAACATTAATAAATGTATTCTATAAATACTTTAAATTCCTTTTTCTGCTTTGCAGTTGTAGTAGACTGTTCTTAGCATTAACTTTTCTATCTTGTCTTTTTAATGCAAGGAAGCACTTTACTATCTTTATGTTCCCAGAATCCCACATTCAATATTACAGGAGAACTTCTTGACAGAAGAACTGTATGCACTCTAAAATTCTGTTGTGTAAGCTCCTGCCTAAGGCTTTTAGATGTCTGTATCATTTTGATAGTTTAACATCATTTTTTTTATCGTTGCAGTCAGAATTTCATGAGAAGGATACCTTTTATATCTTCAACCATGTCGACATAAAAATATATTACCATGTTGTGGAAAATGAAGCTCTGGGAGCAAGGCTGGTTGCTGCTAAACTTGAACCAAAAAGGTTGGTATTGGGAAGTAACTTGTCATCCCAAAGTGATCCATGCCAGGATAGTTGCTTTGATCTGGGGACCTGCTACTAGCCAGAAATGTTTTCAGATGTGTGACCTGTAGATTAAATCTCCTGTTGACTGATGTAGTGTAATGTAGGGCAGTCTAACATCACTTTGTTCTGAGTTCAATGGATCTTGGTGCATTATTTCCTGTTTGGGCCAAGAAAAGATAAAACCTGGAAGCATTGATGGGGTGGGGGTCTGGGTTGGGGGTGTACATGTAGAACTCTAATTTCTCTGCTGGGGAACATTTTGTCTTGTATTGGAATAGGCCACCAGTGCCTAATGGGAGAGCAGCATCCAATGCCTTCAGCGATTAGGATTTGAATAGAATGATTTCACAGATGCACTCAGTTGTTCTGGTGTGGCTTTTGCACAACTGATGTCTGGTTCATTGTTTCTTGGTGTCTAACTGAGCTTGTTGCATTGCTGGTTCAGTTGAAAGTATTTTTTCCTGACAGAAGATGGTAATTCTGCTGTTATGACTTTGAGTGTTTTAGAGGTTCGTAGCAGTGCTCAGACTTCTTTTGTGCTCTCCTGTAGACTGTGCTCTCTGTAGTTTTCTTTTTCAAAGAGACAACTCTTGTTTAAAAGTTCAAGTTGTGAAAAGTCCTGTGCTTACGATACATTCCTTGTGAGTTCTGAAGTTTGTGATACATTAAGAACAATTTTTATATTTAAGGGAAGAATCCTTGGTATGGTTTTGCAAGATGAATGATTTTTTTTTCTTAAGAGTGTTATCAGTGAAGCAGCTTTCATTCTGTGCCTTTTCTTCCCACAGTTACAAGCATACTCATCCAGACAACCCTGATTGCTCAGGAGTACCTATGGATATTAGTAATAAGGCTAGTGGAGAAGTCAAAATTGCTTACACATACTCAGTTTCTTTTCAAGTGAGTACTAAGATTTCTGTGGTAGTTACCTCTTAATATCATGCATTGATACTATGAATTACAAAGATGGACAACTAAAATTAGCTCAGAATAGTACATTTATAGTTTTAAAACTTTATTTAAACTGGAATGTCACAGGTGGCTTGGGATTTAACCACATGCATTATGATTTTGCATACCACCACACGCAGTGAATGTGAAATGCGTATGTGGTTTGTAAAGGAATCACACTGTCCATGTTTACCTAGGTCCATGTTTACCTAGGTCATCTGGTAGATCACTTTTCAATCCGAGCTCTTAAGTCTGACAAATTGTGTGTTTCAGCAAATTACTGTTTTAGGCAGGTTGAAGCTGATCTTTTCTGCTGTCCTGCTAAAAAAGCTTTCTTCTCTCCAAGGTTTTCCTCCCATGGAAACCTGCAAAAGAGTAAGGAGCTAATATTCTTTGTTCTGCTACTCTCTATTTAGAAGCAGAGGAGCAGTATATCAGGCAACCACAGGAATGCTTGTCTACATCTCGTTCTGATGACAAACAAGAGAGGGGCTTTTTGGTTGGCTTTTTTTTCTTAATGTTGTTTGCTGGACAAAACTGTTTCTGAAGTTTCCTACCCTTTCTCAAACTTCCCTCTTAGTCTAAGACTAAGTTCAAAATACAATAAATAGTACAAGTACACTCAGAAGGGATTATACTATGTATGATGTAATAATCATATTTTGAGAAATTATATCATTTATGATGCTGAAATGAATTTGTATAGCTAAAAGCAAGCATTTCTGGAAACCTGTGACAAGTTAATAAGTAAGATGACCTTAGCTTCATGCTATTACATTGTTTCTCCTTAAAAAATGACATGCCCAGCTGTGTGTGTTACTGTCCTGTGCACAATGTTCCATCAACTGGAGGTCATCTTCTGAAATTGTATTGGGTTGGCAGATGAGGTCATCTCAGGAAGACAGGAAAAAGGCAGTGTAGGTATGAGGAAAAATGCAAGTCTATCCTAGAATCATTGATGCTGGTTTGGATACTTGTTGCTTGCTTTGGACCTAGTTTTATGACCTCATTGAACTAGATATTTAATCTTGGCTAAATGTTTTAACCCTCTGGTTTTTATATTTTCAAGAGCTGGCTGTACTGGAAAGCACTCTGGTATGGTGTAAATTACTGACATAACGTCTTGTCAGAAAGACACTTAGCCGTTTTTATTAGTTGATAGTAGTGTTTGTGGTTTGTTTAATAGCAGTCTTAAAGTGGATTAGAACTGTCTATTCCTTTTTTCATGTTTACTCTGCAAAATGAAACAAATGGTCTTTTGGAAGTGTTTCTGATCAAAATGTTCAATCTGAGTAAGTATAAAAACTGTTGAAATGCCTGAAGGAATAATTTCTCTCTCTCTACTAACCGTGGAAGTTCTGTAGTGTTGTCTCCCCATCTATCTGGCAGTAAAAGCTATTTGTAACTGGATTGGTAGTTGGTACTGAAATGAGGTTTTATGAAAGCAAAGGATAATTTGGACAGAGTACTATCTAGAAAGTCAAGTATTGTGCTGGAGACTATGTAGCATAGCTTAGTTTTTCCATGTGTTGATTTACATACGCTAGAAACTGCAAGTTCTTTTATTATTCTGCTACTCATTTGAATTCCAGATGAACTAATATAATTCCTGAAGGGAGGAAGCACAATTAAATTAATTTGATAGGCCTTTATGTCTTAAGAAGACACAGGTGCTCAAATTCAGACAATATTTTCGTTTAGGTTCTGTGGTCAAATCTTACCTGTGTTCTAGGTAGGTATTATTAAACTATTCCCCTTAAGGCATGGAACATGAAATTTCAATTAGTCACAAGATTTAAGATTGCTCTGCAGAACATCAACTTGTAAATGTACAAGTTGGATACCGACTGCATCTGAAACTCATATTTTACTCTTTCAGGAAGAAAAAAGTATCAGGTGGGCATCAAGATGGGATTATATTTTGGAATCCATGCCTCACACTCACATCCAGTGGTTTAGGTGAGAAGAAAGTTTGCCTTCAAGAGTACTGTACTGAAGTGTTTACAGTGCAATATTAATTTTCTTTTTTTTTTTTCCTTAATTCAGTATTATGAATTCCTTGGTGATTGTGCTCTTTCTGTCTGGAATGGTAGCTATGATTATGCTGAGGACACTGCATAAAGATATTGCAAGATACAATCAAATGGATTCCACTGTAAGTCTAAAATATACCTTCTAAAATTTACTTTGAATGTAATTTCTTCAGCTAAATGTATACTTGTAACAGGCAATTGAAATGGCAATCTACTGCTTTAAAACAGGTGTATTTCCTTTACAGGAAGATGCTCAAGAAGAATTTGGCTGGAAACTGGTTCACGGTGATATTTTCAGGCCCCCAAGAAAAGGAATGCTGTTGTCAGTTTTTCTAGGCTCTGGCACACAGATCTTAATAATGACTTTTGTTACCCTGTGTAAGTAATAAACTGGGGAGGAATGAGTTGAATATAGATGATTTTCACTGTTAATTGCACAGTACTAGTAAAAAAAGCAGTAGAGTTTTGTTTAAAAGTTTTTTAAAAGCAGTTAGAAACAGCTGAGCTGATGTAGTAGACACGCAATTTAGTACACAGATTTTAAGATAACTGATGCACTGGCTTGAAATCAAATGTACAGTGCCTTTCTAAAAGTGTGCATCTCTGCTTCAGTTTTTGCTTGCCTGGGATTTTTGTCACCTGCTAACCGTGGAGCTCTAATGACCTGTGCTGTGGTTTTGTGGGTACTGCTCGGAACTCCAGCTGGTTATGTTGCTGCCAGATTCTACAAATGTGAGTAAAAGTTATTGAAAACGACAAGGCTTAAGTTCATTAAAGTAAATTATTGTCACAGAACTGATTTTTATTTTGCAGTGCTGTATGTAGTTTCCCTCAGGGCAAGTTGGAGAAATGTACTTACCTTAACAACAGAAAAAACATACAACACTGACATGGTTATGCTGGTTTTGATGTAATCAGGCCTAAAGACCCAGAATTGCTCTTGCTGCTGTGGATTTATGAAATTGGGGAGCAAATTACATTTTACGAGTACTAAGCTAATTACATTGGACAGTTTTGGACTACTTTAGTTCTGAACATACAGGAGTAGAGAAGGAATTTACTTCTGGACTTAAGCCTGGCAGTAGGATTGGAGTTCTTTCTTCTAACCATTCCGTAATTTTCATGTGGGGAGAGCCAGTGGGAAAAGTGGGTTTGTGTCTTGTAGGGAGTTTTACCACAGTGGTAGTGATGTGATAGTGAACTATTCCTAATCTCCAAGACAGTTAGACTTAAACTGAAGGACTAAGGGCTAAATTGAAGGATTTTAGGACTAAGAGCATAATTGAGGACAGAATTATTGTTCATATCATGCTGTATATTATGTGTTTAAAAGGATATTTTGATGTGTATTGATGGTAAATTGAATCCTATGTCTTTGCTGGAGATGTAGCTATTAATAATTCCATTCCACATGATACTTACTGGGAATCAGTTGGTACTTGAATGTTGTGTTTGACTGCTAAGACAGTGAGTGACTGATCTAGATATATTTTTGTTATAACATGAGGTGACTCATACCACAGAGCATGTAAACATTGATGTTTTTCTTTATAATCTACAAATAAACTAATGTGTGACAAACCAAAATGCAACTGAAATGGATATGCAGTTTTAAAAGCTGGCAATTTTTATAGCAACATTACAGTCAGAGTGAAACTTGAGTTGAAATTAAATGGTTAATCTTAATAACTGCTGCCATGTTCTACCAAGTTTTTATGAAGAAATAGAAACTTAATTAAAATCACTCTAACCATAATCACTTCTGACTCGTGAAATAAAGAAGCATGTCATTATGGCAGTGCTCAGATGAAATTATCAGCTTCACTGCATTCCAGCAGGATATTTTCATTTGAAAGTATACTGACTGGAATTTTTATCAGCATAGTGCAAATTCAAAAAGATTTTCTTAATAAAGCTATCTTTGGTCTTGTGGTATCACCACTGCTTAATGCTGTTAAGACTCAAGAGAACATCACTACTTCTGTAAGGGTGTTAGTCCTGACTTGCTTGTAAGATTCATGGGCAAGAATTATTTCGAGGAAACTGCTAAGCTTGATTTTTGCATATTTATGTATCTTTTCCTACTGAAACCTGCAGTCACATGCTAGAAAGCTTAAACTTCTTAATCTCTCCAGGTTTAAACTGTCTTTTAAAGACTTAGAAGTACTGTAAATCTTCTTCCTCTTTTTAGCAGATAAAAAGTGGTCAGAGGCAGAGTTTGTTTGGTTGGATGCCTTTCCTGACCTTGGTCTGTGACTTTGCTTTGAAGCTCTGTGGTTAATATGGTGTGGAAATTTAGTTTTATTACTGAAGATTTACCTGACTATTTTAAATTTGGGCATGATAGCACATTATTTGCAGGCTACGTATAACAGGTAAATGGACTGGAAAATTGATAGTTGTGAGCTTAATGCCTGTTTTGATGTCTGTCAAATGTCTTAACACAGCATTTGGAGGTGAGAAATGGAAAACAAATGTCCTGCTGACATCATTCCTTTGTCCTGGGTAAGTTGAGAGTATCGCCATGATGAACAGAATTAAATTGCTTCTGTGACATGCATAGCTAATTTTTAAGTTTCAACTGTACAAGTAAATCTTATTACCTTGTCCCTTGATTCCAGAAACTACAGGAGTATCTCAGTGTTCTTGACAAACATGAGTGTTAGTGGCTTATCATCCTTAGATATTTTTATTTAGTAAGAATTTGTTTGCTCTCACCTCATGAAATCGTTGATGAAGTGAGAGCTTTATGATAGTAGCAAGTGTTAGACAGGCACAATTTTCTCTGCTTTCTTTTATTCTCTAGGCTATTTCTCTGACCACACTAGTCGGTCTTACATAGTGTCATATACTGTATAACCACTCCGATAAATGTTGCTACTTAATCACAGCAAGCAGCCTTACCCTGAAGTGTAGTTAAGACAAGCATAGATTTGAAATAGCTTAGTTGGAACGTCAGCTCCTGCTGGAGTTCAATCCCCCTAGATTAACGAAGAATTGCTTGTTTGACCTCTTCATTTTGGTATTTTGTGTGTGTCAGTTGGTTTTAGCAGAGATTTGCACTGAAATTGTAACACAGTGCTATTGTTTTGTTAACATTATTGAACGCGGAGGAGGATTTCTGTGCCCTAAGTGTGCTGTGTGTTTTTCAGAATCGTCTTTGCGGATTTTTTTATCATGAACCTCATTCTGTGGGGAGAAGGCTCTTCAGCAGCTATTCCCTTCGGTACTTTGGTTGCTATCCTGGCACTCTGGTTTTGCATATCTGTGCCACTGACGTTTATTGGTGCCTATTTTGGGTTTAAGAAAAACGTAAGTGTTTCTGAGAAGTTGTTTTGTGAGTGTATGCACATAGATACACATATTTTGCACCATATAGGCTATGACTGAGGTAGCACCTAAGTTATTGGCTCCAGTTCCATTCAGTTACTTTAGAGCTGCATTAGATGCCTGATCTCGGAATTCCAAGGCTTTGATATTTAGTTGGTTGGGGGTGGTGATATTTCTCCGCAGTGATTAAGGTTATGATTGTATTTAATTGAGAGGCTGCTATGGATAAAGCAGTGGTTTAGGCATTTTTAGTTTAATTAGCATCTTTTTCAGGACTAAAAAAATGAGTTGTCCCTGCAAGCATAAGGGAAAGCAATTTTTGTATTTCTGGTTTTCCACACATATTTTTTGTTCCAGTCCTCTACCCTGAGGATATTTTCTGATCAAATTGCTGGAGTTCTGTGACATTTTTTTGCATAAGTGCTCTGTAAATGGTTATCACTGCTTGGCAGACATTAATTAGGATTTACTCCTAAACTCATCAATTTTACTTAGTTATATGAAGGCTCTTTGTGCCACTGGTGACCAAACATTTCATAATTTAGTGAATAAAACATTAAAAAATGAGATTCATTCTATTTTTTTTTTTTCTTAAAAATAGTTGTCTGTCCCCTACAAACATAAACATAAGGTCAGATAGTTTTGTGGGATTTTTCCTGTATGGGAAGCTAGAGTTCCAGCTCTGTAGCTCTCGTGGAATACTTTCAGAGAATATTTAAGCATCTAAGGCACTTTTTACATTGATTGTGTAGTTATCATGTTTTTGTTAATCAATATTCAGTATTTTCTCTCTGATAACCATGTTGAAATTGCAGCAAGTGCCCTGCACTGTACAGAGGTAGTTCCCTTAAGAAAGTAGATTTAATAAACTATAAGGCAACATGATAGGTGTCACAAATACATGAAAATCAAATCAGAAAGGAAGTACATAGCAAGAATCTTGATATTTTTTACATAGCCTTTATCAAAGGGAAAAGATAAAAGTGTGCTTTTATCTGCCTTATATTTTTTTCTATCACCATGTTGATCTATGTGTGCATCTTAAATTAGGATTCAATTGCCAAAGTGCATCCTCTCAGTTTGTAAATTTATCCTGATGTGATTCTTGAAGTAAATTCTATAAAACAACACGCAGGAATTTTTAGATGGGGAGGGCAGGAGTCTGCACCACCACTACCTGCAGCTGAAACGTGGTAAATGAGCTCAGGCTCTGTGACAGATGAGGGATAAAGGTGAACATAAAAAGAGAGATGAAGTAAGTAAACATGAGAAGGGAAGTCCAGAATACCTGCCACTGTGTTTGCAGTAAGAGCTGCCTTTTAGCTCATTTGCTGAGGCAGTGTTGGTAGCTGGGCTGATAGTGAAAGCAAGTGTAGTGGTAGCTGGGTATGTGCATCCTCAAAACCAAGAGTAGACTTTTGCCACCACTAGTTGCAAAAAGAGAGCAAAAAGGTAGTGCTGTAGTTTGGCACTTTGTTCATTTAGCAAGTTGTTATTTTTGTTTACAGGCTATCGAACACCCTGTTCGCACAAATCAAATTCCTCGTCAGATCCCTGAGCAGTCATTCTACACAAAGCCATTGCCTGGCATAATCATGGGAGGGATTCTGCCTTTTGGATGTATCTTTATACAGTTGTTCTTCATTCTCAATAGTATTTGGTAAGTTAAATACCATCTATTTGATTTTCTCTGTCATAAAAGGTGGTAATTTTCTTTCCTCAAGAAGCTTTGGCTGATTTTTGGTGATGCAGAGTTACCAGAATACCGATTCAATACCAATTTAAATGTTAGCATTTTAGATATTTTGTGGTTTAGAAGATACTCAGTGCCTGCTTTGTTTGTTGGAGTATGTAGAGAGGTGGCTGTGATATGTTTTGCAATTCACAGCTGACCTACAACATTCAGATAGTTTGTTTTCTCCTGGTGTTCCTCTGACTTCATGTGGAAGTGGCTCTGAAGCTGACATGTGGCATATAACTTGAAAGTAGTAAGTGTATTAAACTAACTTGAGGTGGGATTTTTTGTAGGTCTCGTTAGGCTAGAAAAGTGTTACTACTCTTGGGTGAAAAAAGAATCAAGAATAAATCTTGTGAAGCCTTTATAAAGGAATCAGGAGAGTCATTACTTTAAAAAGTAAAGAACCAAAGACTAGTCCATTATAAGTGAATTCTGATGTGAGCTCATAGCACACTGGCAAACTAATCTACTGTGAGGAATTTGTCTTCCTTCTGGCACAATTTAGTTATTGGATCTTGTTAAACTGTTTCTGAACCTTGAATAGGTGCCTCTACCCAACACAGACAGCTACAGCATTTGACATTTCTTGTTGTTTTGCAGATCTGCCCCTTTGATTGAAATGTGAGGTGAAATCCAAGTTCTGCTGAAGTCAGTGGAAGAGGTCACACTGACTTCACTGGAGCTGTAATTTCACCATTAAATCTAGTCACTCCTTTCCCTAAAATCCCAACCAGGAGCATGCTGTGGGATTGCATTCTCACTGTTCTCAGGCTGAGCTGCCAAGGCTCCTGTTTTTAGATAGGAAATAAATTAGTCAATTGTGTGACCACACACACAACTGACAGTACTTCAGTGGGAAGGGGAATGCTTCAGGTGAAGGTGAAATTACTGCATATGAAGAAATAATATTAGCACAATGACCGTTTTAATATATTTGTAACTCCCTTTTATAGGTCCCACCAGATGTATTATATGTTTGGCTTCTTGTTTCTGGTATTCATTATTTTGGTTATTACATGTTCTGAGGCTACAATATTGCTCTGCTACTTCCATCTATGTGCAGAGGTAAGAAGAATGCTTCAATATTCAAACTTGATACTGTTCTAAGAATGCTTAAAAAAATTTTAATGCTTTAGTAATTAAAAAAAATAAGTGTTCTAGAATTCAGCATGAACACCATGACTAGGTGAGATGTACTTAAAGCATGTCTTTATAAAGTGAAGCAGGCTGCTTTGGGCAAAACTTGGAGCAAATGTTAGAGCCCTGCACTGGGTATTACTGTCGGATATTGCATCCTTAGGTTCTAACTCCCTGTTTTCTGAATATGCCAAACTAATCCATTAACTTTGTCCAGTCAGAGTGCATTTTGGACATGCACAGCCTTGGGGGAAAAAAATCTGTGGGTGGAAATAAGTATATCTGGCTTATTTGGGGATTAGCATTTTGTCTATTTGATATTGATCTTCAGGTTTCTTCTCTCTAATTGTGAATGGTGTAATTAAAGCAGTATTGATTATATATAGTTCTTTTCCCTGTAGTTAAAAAAACAGCCTATAAAAGCTCACTTCTGGATAAAGTGTTGTTAGAAAAAGTAGCTCTGCATTCAGTGGTAGTCAGTGCATTAGAGGTGTGTGCAGTGTTGTTCATATGTTTGTTTTCTCTCCTCATTCCTAGGACTATCACTGGCAGTGGCGTTCATTTCTCACTAGTGGTTTCACTGCAGTTTATTTCCTAATATATGCAATACATTATTTTTTTTCTAAACTGCAAATCACAGGAACAGCCAGCACCATTTTGTATTTCGGTTATACTATGATCATGGTTTTGATCTTCTTCCTTTTCACAGGTAAGTGTGTCCAACCTTCATTTTAAATTGAGTCTACCTTAGTTTTGTACAGTAGAATTCTTGGCAAAACGTATCTTGATACACACTTAAAAACTAATAGATGTCTTTGATTTTTTTCCAGTTAGTTGTGTAGCATATGGCAACTCTGTGAACACAGATTTTAGTGAGAGAGATTACATGAGGATGAGGCAAAACTACCGTTAATTTGAGGTGTGGCCTATAATCAGGTCTTAAAATATGTGATAAATACCTCTCCAGATTTTATTCTTATGTTAGCCATATGAGAAACTCAGATTTTTAAACTAGTTGTCTTTGGAGCAGCACACTTCAAATCACACACAATCAAGTATAAGGTTTCAGTGTCAATGGGAAAAATTGCAGCTTTTGTGGGAGGTAGAAAGAGAGAAATAAAAGCTGACAGAAAATACTTTTTTTAAAAAAAATTTATTTGCTATCTCCTAGAATTTATTTACCTTCTTTCCCAATTGCATTGAAGTGTCATGGGAAGTAACATTTTTGGCATCAATCTTGTCAGAATTTGTAATCCTTATTGTGAGCCTTTGGAAAAACACTTTTCTTAGGTGCTGCATTTCAATTTCCTGTTCAATAAGTGAGATGAGGTCACAAAATCTTCCCTTGTCATCCTCAGTACTAAGAAACAACTTCCAGTCAGACACACATATCCCTGGTTTAGGGTGGAAGAAGAGCAGTGGAAGTGCAGAAGTCTCCTTTCAAAATGATGCAAGAAGGCAGCAACCACCAGCTCCTCAGACAATCTTAAAAGTTCTGTATTCTGCTTCAGCAGAATGCAGTCTGTCCTTGTATACTTACCCTACAGAGAAATACTCTTGAAACTATTTTGAGCTGATCGATGGTATCAATAATTTCAAGCTTCACATTTATGATGATATTTAATGATTATGCAGGTTTCAGTAGGTACTAGAGGGAGCAGGTGTAAGCTGAGACGGGAGATTCAGATTAGATGTTGGGAAAATTTTTTTCCCTGTTTGGGTGGCCAGGCACTGGAATAGGTTGCCCAGGAGGGTGGTGGAGTCACCATTCCTGGAAGTGTTAAGAGGCATCTGGATCTGACACTGGAGGATATCATAGAATCAACCAGGTTGGAAAAGACCTCAAAGATCATTGAGTCCAGCCCTACCGTGGTTACTAGACCATGGCACTAAGTGCCACATCCAGTCTCAGCTTGAAAACCTCCAGGGATGGTGAATCCACCACCTCCCCAGGCAGCCCATTCCAATGTCTGATTACTCTTTCCGTAAAAAATCTCTTCCTTATATCCAGCCTAAACCTCCCCTGGCAGAGCTTGAGTCTGTGCCCTCTTGTCCTCCTGCTGGTTACCTGGGAGAAGAGACCAACCCCCACCTGACCACAACCTCCTTTCAGGGAATTGTAGAGGGTGATAAGGTCTCCCCTGAGCCTCCTCTTCTCCAGCTAAACAACCCCAGCTCCCTCAGCCTCTCCTCACAGCACTTGTGCTCCAGTCCCTTCACCAGCCTCACTGCTCTTTCTGGTTTGGGGGGTTACAGCAGAGAGGCAGGTTAATGGTTGAGCTTGGTGATCTTTGAGGTCTCCTCCAACCTTGATGATTCTATGATTCTGTCATTTATGTATACATGCTACATTTTGAGGCCTCCTAGAACACAAATGGCTTGTCATCAGGGCTTTTAATACAGATCTCATTATAACTATTAAGTAGAATTTTCATTTCCACATAACATAGGAGAACAATAACAGTCTAATGAGAAAAGAGCTAACATTTGAGAATGGTGTTCATTTTAAGTGTAACTGAGTATTAATTTCAAAGACAGTGACGCTTCAGCTAAGAAAGTATTGAAGCTGTTTATGCACCATGACTGAATGCAGATGATAATGAACAGGAGCAAGAGCCTGCAAGGATTTTCTTGGGTCATTGCCTGTTACAGGGAAGGAATGGGACTTAAGTATATTATGTAATCTCATTGAAAAGAGTTCAAGCTGTGTTCCAAAAGTGGTTAGTTTTATCTTCCATCCTTCGTTTTAAGTCAGTCTAATGTGTTGTGGCATTGCTTGCAGATGGACTGTAATTTATACATCTCTGCTTTTATTTTCTGTACCAGTTAGCAAGTCATTCTCAATGTGCAGATCAGGGATTCTACCTCCCTTGCTCCTTTGTCTTCTTTCTCACCCTGATTTTCTCCTAACCTTTATTTCTGGTCTGGGTTTACTGATAGTCTCATTGAACTAAAGAGTCATGGAATGCTTGGTTGTTCAACTAGAAATGAATGTGCACTGCTGTATGTAGATCGATTTTTAAATGCAGTGCAAACTTACAAAGTAGTGTGAAAAATAATTAGGCCTTACATAAATGTAAGGTCAATTAATTTAGTTCTAGCTTTTCCAATAGATGATCAGCATGTCTGCCTTTAATAGTAAACAGTTTTGCCCAAAACCAGAGTCATGTTTACCCTGTCTCCTTTGTTCACTCTGTTTACTTTGGGTGCACATAGTAATTCTGGAGTGCACATATTCAAGGTAAAAGGGGTTCACACTAATTTTCGATGCTGAGACTTGGTTTAGCTGCCTTTCTGCCCCTCAGGGACCCATGGAATTTCCATCTTTTGACCTTGTTCTTTCAAGTCAGTCATGTCACATGAGGTTTTCTAGAGGCATTAAGATGTGCCCAGTGCATCTGTCTCCCTGTTCCTTTGCTCATGTGTTTGCTTTCAGTTGTCCAAGTGGCTGTGCAGTGGCTGCCAGCAAATCTGGGGAGTTGTTTTCAGGGTAGGTTCACAAGCATGCAGAGAAGAGGTGGTTTATTCTCAGCCCCCTGCAGATGCTTTCTGTGGCGGGCATTTGTTTGTAATTAGGACAGTAGAGATGCAAGTTGTGCTGTGCTTTCAGTGTTTGTATGCTCTTGGTTTTTTAACTTTTCAGTTTCTGTATGGAAATCAGGGGAGGATGCACGTGAAGTTACCCAGACGGTTAGAACTTTGAAACATCATGTGCTTAACAATTTTTTTTATCTACTTTCCAGAAGATCAAGTGCAAATTATCTTCTAATTTGGGAGAATTATCCTATTTCTTGAGATTTAAGAATTATTCTGTCCATTTAGGTGGATATGAATTCAAAAGCAGATACACTCAGTTCTCTGATCTTTACTGAAGTGCTCTTAGATAAGGTTTTACAGAAGATGTTAGAGGTAGGGTAAAGGACAGGCAGTTCTTCTCCACTTTCTCAAACAAAGCAGCATATTAGTAATTTATGAAAAACTACTCCCAAAGGCAACTGACTTCCCATGTCAGGTGGATAAAGAAGCTAAAAAGAAAAAATCATAATTGTATCAAAACTGTTCTGCTGCTGCTTACTCATCTGTTAAAAATGGTCAGTATCAGGAAGGGTTTTGACGGTGCCCTGCTGCTGTGTCGGTGTAACACATGCTTCAGGCACTTGCATCCATACTGCATTCCAGGTCATTGATCAGACTCAGCAGGCAAAATACCAGGAGCTACATGACAAATCTTTGATTCACAGCTGGTACCACAACTACGTATCATAGTAGATGAGTCAGTTAAACATCAGTAGTTTAGCAAGCGTAAAGGGGGGAAAAAGATGACCATGATATCATTCACAGTTCCCTTTCAAGCTTCTGCACAACTTTTGTTGCCCCTCTTGATGGATCTAAAATAAAGGCCATTTTTGTCCTTTAAAGAACGTCTTTGGCTCTTGCATAACTTAAGGCTATGATTTTAGAAGAGGTACTCAGGCAAGAATTAGATCATCTTCAGGGCTTTTTTCCTGTCCTAGTTTTTGTGGGAAATGAAGGTTCCTGTAAATGGTGTTCTGAGCTGCCATTTAGTCCAATATCATTCTGATTGAGGCTGCATTTTCAAGTAATCCAGTTAGATTAACAAAACCCAACTACTTAATTATTTCACATCCAAAATGGTATTTTTGTTCAAAGCTTCTTTTGGAGTTTCACAAACAGAAGGGATGCAGCTATTTTTGTTCTGCTAAAAGGATAAGTTATCAGGGAAACAGTCTTCATCCTTAAATTTCAATTAAGATTTGCGTTTTTGTTTGGACTGCCTGAAGTATTTCAGAAATGTTTATTGTTAAGATATGCAACACATGTTTTGAGTAAGAGTTCTGTGGTTTGAAATTTCTATTAACTTGATATATGCAAAAATAAAGGTAGTGCTCTAATTTTCCAAGACCTTAAAGTGTATCTAAGAAATTGGAAGTCCCTTTGATGCTGTTAGTTTAATTGGTTTATCAAATGCAATAACAGTACTCTGAGCAGATCAGATAAAGTGTGTGAGCAGTCACTGAAGAAAGGTGAAATGGAGCAATGTGAAGGAGACTGCATAATACTGAAACAACAGATATGGAGGAAGACAAATAACACAGAAACTTCTTAAAACAAGAATCTTCCACATGCTCAGCTCTGATTGTGAAAATAATGAGATACTCTCTAGAGTAGTTGATGCCTATAAAGCCCAAGTACTGTTTGTAGCTGTGCATTGTCTGACCTGGCTGGTGTACTGCAGACTAGCAATAGCAGATTGCATATACCTAGGTCCTGATTTATGAACTGCAGATAGAAATCAATGTCTCCTGTGTCAGTGTTCCTAACGTGTAACTTTTCTCTTTTTTTCTTTTTTAGGGACAATTGGGTTCTTTGCATGCTTTTGGTTTGTAACCAAAATATACAGCGTAGTCAAAGTCGACTGAAGAAATCAGTGTAAGGAATTAACACAGAAGAGGTTTAATCTTCATTAATGTAACTTAAAGACCTGGTCCCGTTGATGAACTTGAGCTTTATCAGAAGTATTGGCTTCCTGTTCTTTGAGAATGATATTGAGTATGCGTCTACTTTTCCACTAACACGTTTGTATTGTGACTTAACAACCTGTTTCCATTCAAATCTTAATGAAGAGGAGAGCAACGATATTTATGCGTTTGTAAATACAACTATACTTTAAAAGAAATGTTAAATTCTAATGGCAGAGTAGCAGTGGCTGTGTCACACAATTTAATGATACTTCTGATCAAAGTACAACTGTAAATAGATTTTTCTAGCCTGGTAGGTGGGATGATTTATTTTTCTTTGAGGGAAATGAGAACTTTTTATTATGCTAACTTTGAAGGATGACTCTTAAGAAGTGTTGCTTTTAGTTTGGATGCGATTTTTATTTTTTACTGGTGTTACGTCCATAAATATTCTGATTTCTGTGACTTCATTAGTTCTGGTGTTCTTGGCCTTTAAACTATGTGCCTCTGAGTCCTTGAATTTATAAATTCATAATCCAATAAACATTGTAAAAATGTCTTCAGTGGCTCATTACATATTATAAGTTTATAAAAGTATGTAAATACAGTTATATTGAAGACAGATGCTTAAAGATTGCATAGAGTTTTATGGCATTTTCTATGGTTCAATGTATATTGACACCCCCTTAGATCCGCAAGAAATGTTATTTGTGCTACATGGCTATAACATGGAGATGTAGTTGTGGCGCATGAGAACTAAATTATACACACATTTAACAAAGTCACACTGCAGCATTCATCCAGTCCTTAACCCAGAGACATCTCCAGAGACTGGGATGGAATTGTCAGTATGTTGAGAAGATCTTACAACGCATGAGTCAGCATTCTCTGCTGGTCTTGCTTTTAGATCTCGATGATGCATATTCTACAGGGCAACTGTTGCTGATTGTACTTAATGTAGGTTAAAAAATAAAAAGAAATTTACTATTTTTGCCTTATATTAAGAGACTAATGTCGATTTTGGATGACTGGCATTAAAACTATATTTGCTTTTTTTTTTTTTTGGAAATGGAGTATTTTGTTCAAACCTTGTTCAGTAGTTTTAGACTCGTAACACAATTTGGCTTTTGGCATGTTTTCACAAGCCTGATAAAATTGTATTTAAAATTAAACTCTGTGTACCAGTTGCCATTCATAAGGTTGGGGTGGGGGGTGGTTATTCTTACTGGTTTTACCCTTCTGAAGGACCTTAACCCAATGATGCTGGATATTGGACCCAATGAAAATACCTTTAGTTAAGGTAACTTGTCATTATGAAACGCCTCAAAGTTGGCACGTAAAAGGCTTCAGGAGACATTTCCACAGTTGTTGTGCTCCACAGCCCCTCCCAGGTGAACCACAGCACTCTGCCTGTCCCCAGCCACAGCTCTGTTCAGATGCTGTGGGCAGGTTTGTTTTTGTGCCCCTCCCAACAGGCAGTCAGTAGGAAATGCTGATTTTAGGTAAATCTTCCATGGTTTATGTTCAAAACAGGAAAAGGGTGAGTGTGATAAGCATTTGCTGTTTACTAGTGCAGTGAACTGTAGTCTGCCTCTTGATTTAAATTTCTGAAACTATGAAATTGAATACCCTTCATATCACTGGTGTTGTGATGTATGTATAGTCACTGCTCAAAGTCATCAGTAGTTAAACAAATGGGAATTCTCAGCTTGAGAAATATCAATCAATTGTCTGTTACTGAAACACAAATACGCTTGGTGCTCAAGAGTTTTGATATGGTGATATGAGAACAGATTTTGGTGATTATTCACAACTGCTGTTTAGAAATCAGATTAAGAGAAGTGAGGTGTAGCCAGTGTGCTATGTGTAGAGGTTTGAAACTGAAGGGTGTATTCCCCTGGGTGTTTCTCCACAGACTAGTTGACAAGTCATTGCAGCTTCTCAAGTGCCTTATTTTCACCTTTAAAGGCAGTTCGTGAAGTGGGTTATCTTTTGAGATCTAAACTTACTGCATACACAGCTTTTCAAACAGCCTTGCCTTGTAATAATTGCAGCTGTTTTGCAATTGAAATGTTAAAGTTTCAGTGTGGAGCACTTGAGACAATCCAGAAAGTTGAATAAATCACAGATTTCACAGAAGAGCTGTTCTAAAGTTGTCCCCACACTTGTAAGCCGTTATTGCCTCAGATCTTAAAAGTTTTTCTAGAATTTAGGTTTCTGGTGTGTCATAGGTCATCTAAATGTTCTACTGTGTCTGTTCTTCAGCTCTCTTGGGAGCCCTGGGTTTTTGTCTAGACTCCCAAATTCCTGGACTTTCCAAAAATCTTACTATGCTACTCACTGTATAGATATCTGAGAAAAAGTAAATTAATAGGAAGGTTAAGAGAGGACAAATTGCTGAGCTGCATGAAGACAGGGCAAATGTAGACAAAACGTAGCATTTTGGAGAAGTGTCAACATTTTGGTGGCTGATAAATCATTTTAAAACTGATTATTAGGAGTCTGAAAAAAGTGACCATCACTGCCAGATTTAGTCTGAAAGTAATCCTTAGTCCAAATCATGTTGTGACAAAATATAGAAGTTAGTGGTTTTGTTTCCTTTCTCTTAAAAAAGAAGAAATGAAAAAGCAGTTTTATGGCAAGCTCCCTGGTCCAATTTTAGCCTGGTAGCTTCACTTTGTTCAGAAGTTTGGCTGTGTTTGAACACCCCATAGGGTGTTCAGGTTTCTGTGGTCATGCCGATTGCATGTGCCCTCAGCTGCTCTGCTGCAGTCTCAAAATCATTGTCACCCATATTAGTTGACTGTGTGCTAGTCATAGACAATATCTTGATGCTTTCCAAGGCATTTTCAGGTAAAAGGCAGTGAGGGATGACTTAGGAAAAGTCTGGAAGTGAGGATGAGAGGTGAAACACAATGGAATTCAGGCAGGTATCCAAGACACTGAGTTATGCTAATCTGATTATCTGTTTTGAAGGGATGGGAAGTGCCAAGCAAATCCTGTTTGAACTGATGTACAAATCAAAAATGTGAAATGTTGTGGATTTGAAATATGGGTTTACTAATGCTAGTAAAAATACCAATCTCTAAGAAAAGTAGGCTGGACAGCATCTGTTCTGGAGGCAAGGTAGGGGAGGACTTGCAGAATGGAGTGGGCTTTGTGTATTTGACTTTGATCAGTAGAGTGTGAAGTTGTGCCCAAATATTTCTGCAAAGCTTTGTGAGATTGCTGGGGAGAGGCTGCTGCAGCTCATCCTGATGACATGAACAGTGTGCAGTAAGTAAAAACTGAGGTTGCTCAGTGGATTATTGTTGAGCTGATAGAGATATTGAGGTCCACAAGTAATAAGATACATGAGATTTCGTAATAAAAGCACGGTAAATCATTAGCTGCTGGTAGATATTTTTGTATTTGATGGTCAATAAACCAGTCTTGAGAACAGAACCACAGAATGGTAGAACAGTCTAACAAACTTTCTGCGGTTTCTGTTTGTTTGTGAGGGTTTTTTTGTTGTTGTTTGGTTGCTTTTAATTGAATATTGCTGCAGTGTTTGTTTTAGTGTTCTGCTCCAGGCATGTGTGAGCTAGAACTTTGGTAACCTTAGCTGGTGTGTGACATGTGACTGAGTTTATGCCATGAAATTAGTGGCCATCCTCTTTCTGTGCCTTGCCAGTTTGGACACCACCTTCATTTCTGGGGGCAGCTGCATCTCCAGCTCCAACAGCACATCACAACTATCTATTTCCTTCAAGGAAGGAAGATTACTTGTGCAGAGATGTTCTAGTCTTCCCATAGACATGCTGTTTCCTGCAATTCCCCTCTAATTGAAATTCTTATTCTCAGTATCCTGCTGTTTCTCCTTATGCCACAGTTATTACTGGTCTACTTATTTATCTCCATAAATCTGGATTCCACAACAGACTCCCGAAATATTTCTCCTGTTACCTCATATATTGACTTTGGGTACATGTGCCTACACAAGCGTGTGACACTTCAGATTAGAGCACAAACCTTCAGGGACTACTGAGAGACTTCATTTATCGGTTGATTACTGTATAGCACTTTCATTCTTCTTATTTGAAACATCTGGAACTCGCTGTTGATGACATGAGAGTAGTTAACTGCTTGTAAATCAGATAAACCAAAAGATTACAAATGAAGCCTGTCACGTTTGGGTGATGGCACATTCTTGCCACTTGACAGGATTCCAGCGCTTTCAGTGAAAAGGCAGTTAAAATTCCTCCTTCCTTCCGAGGTATTTGAGCATCGCCTGCTGGCCACAGCACGCACACGTGCAGGAGCAGAGTTCAGGAGGTGATAGGAAGGTGTTGTCAAAGCACTCTACTGCAGGGGCTTATCCTTAGCATTAGATCTTTACATATGTATGCTCACTTCAGTGTTTCTGGAAGTGCCAAAAATCATGGCAAAGCGCAGTAACGGTAATCATACAAATAATTTATCAGTGAACGTGCTAACAGCATGTCTCCTGCATCTAGTATGGGCACGCTGCTAGCATTATTGTGTGGGGCAACACAGCTGAGGAAGTGTTTGCAATCCCTATTCTCTATAATAGGGTCCTTTAGAATTCAGTGTTTCAGCCTTATTTTGTAAGGATTACTTGTCCTTACTTAGGTCCCTGTTCTGATACCTTAAACAGTTGTTCTAAGCTCTCTACAAAAGGGATGCTCTAGAGGGGAGAGCACAGGGTGTCCTGAGAGGTGGTGAGGGCAACACAGCTGAGGAAGTGTTTGCAATCCCTATTCTCTATAATAGGGTCCTTTAGAATTCAGTGTTTCAGCCTTATTTTGTAAGGATTACTTGTCCTTACTTAGGTCCCTGTTCTGATACCTTAAACAGTTGTTCTAAGCTCTCTACAAAAGGGATGCTCTAGAGGGGAGAGCACAGGGTGTCCTGAGAGGTGGTGAGATATTGTGTCCCAGCTTCATACGTTCAATAGTGTCAACTCCACACTGTTGAATAATTCAGCATGACTTGCTGATGTTGGTAAAAGACTTCCTTTGGCTTGTGTGGGATGGATTTGTTTTGCTTGTTTTGATTCTTTGGGGAGGGTGTTGGTTGGACTTTTTTGTTTGTTTTTTAATGATCTAGTCAAGACAATGGATTTATTTTTAAATTTCATCTCTATTTTGGGAAGATTATTAAGGTAGAGAAGATATCCTTCCTGATATTTTTCTGAACTCTCCATGACTCTCTTTTGCTTTGTTCACAATTACGTGTTCGGTTGGGGTATATAAAATCATTAACCTGACTCAGCTACAGCTGTGTAAAGAGGGACAAAGTGCATGTGACAAGAGCAGGCACATGCACACACAGAGTGTGGCCTCTGCTTGCCCTCGGCGTTGCACAAGGTAAGATGCGTGAGCTTCCAATTTGCAGGAGGTTGGTAAAGGCAGGTGGGCCATGTTCTGCTCCTGCCTGTTTCATGCACTACGAATCAGGTGCTCTGGGGTATTGCCAGGGAGGCCCAGTCTCTCCCTTTGTAGCCTAAGGATACAAAAAGCAGTAGGGTTGTGGCATTT